GCGGTATTCTTTCTTAATATTCGTTAAATAAACACATTGTTAATCTTAAATAATACTGGGGTATTTGGTTGTGGGCTTTGGGATGGGGGGTTCTGGGTCTGGTAGATGATAGAGGTGGCTGAGGCTGTGGGGTGGTGTGTGGTGTGGTGGGAGCGGAAGCTGTAGTTGAGGGTTGTTATAAGCCCTGGTAGCTAATGCGAGGGTAAGGTGTGAGCCTTGGGCTGGACGCTCAGGCCGAAGGTTAGATGTGAGTTGTGGGTGCTGATTAACAAATTTTACCTGATAAGACTTGGTAACGAGTGTTATCTAAAAATAGTGATTTTTTTTTTATTTTTTTTTTTTTTCAAAGAAGGGTTGGGAAGTAGTCACTGCGTCACTGCATCCTTGAGGATTATTGTGACATACCCACTTCAGTTCCATAGACGAGTAGCAGTTGAGAATGCCAGTATGTCCTTTGGAGAGATGTTGCCTAATTCCGTTATAAGCGGATAGGCAATGGATAAGTAGCGAAGTCTGAGTCTTGCCAGACTATCACAGTGACACAATATGTGTTCTGCTGTTTCCTCTTCTTCGTAACAAAGTCTACAGCTATCGTCTCCAGTAATACCTAGATTCAATAAATGTTTTTTAACACCGCAGTGTCCAGTTAGAAAACCTGTGACAAGTCGGATGCCACTTCTGTTCAGCATAAGTAGCTCCCTAGTTCTGGCTTTTGATCGAAACGACATGGATTCTTTTGCTTGTCTGCAGGTAATTGTATTATCCCAATCATTCTGAGCTGCTCTTTCCAGCCATTCATTAGTTTTAAGTTTGAAAAATCTCCACGAAGGACCGCAGAATGGTTGTGGCCCAATATAGTATGAGGCCTTTTCTCGCTAGTTCATCTGCTTTTTCGTTTCCCTCAAAACCGCTGTGCCCTGGAATCCACATTAAGTGGACTCTGTTCTTTTCAGCAAGGTCTTTGAGAAGTAGAAGACATTCCCACACTATTTTTGAGGTTACTCGAGATGAGCGTAGTGCCAGGAGTGCCGATTTACTGTCAGAAAAGATATATATGTTTTTTCCTGTGACGGGTTTACCTTTATATCCTGAGACATAATTCAATTGCGTGTACTTCAGCCTGAAAAACTGATAGTGATTTAAAAGAACGTGCATATGCTTGGCTTGTAACAAACGCAATAAAATCAAAAGTAAAAAACTTCGACTAGGAATAAAGAATAAGAAAACAAAGAATTAAAAAAGAGGAAGATTAGATACATAAAAAAGCAAATGGAAAAAATGTTATTTTCAACGGCGATTAAAAGCACCTTAAAAAATCTTGAAAAGAGATCAACCTGAAGAAACTTGAAGATTTAAATAATCATATATATATTACATTAAAGATATTTTATTTTCATATGTCATTTTAATGATCTATTATTATGATCATTAATAATATAATATGAGGGCAGTTTGTTAAGTCAGTGACTTTTTGAATAAAACAAATTTTTTTCGGCAAATAAACATTTTATTTTTCTATATAATCACCTTTTAGCTCGATACATTTAGTCCAGCGTTTTTCTAATTCTCTTATTTCCTCCAAATAATAGGTTTTCTTAAAGCTCTCAAAATACGCGTTTGTTTTGGTAATGACTTCTTCAATCGACTCAAATCTCTTACCGCCCAGCCATTTCTTTAGGTTTGGAAACAGAAAATAGTCGCAGGGGTTAAATCTGGAGAATATGCTGGATGGGGTAGCAGTTCGTATCCCAATTCGTGGATTTTAGCCAGTAATGATTAATCAGCGCACGAAATTCATTTTTTTCCATTTTTGTACAAATTTACGAGGTTGTCTGCTTTGAACGGCTATCAAACACCAACTGAACGACGTAGCTTGCTCAAAATTAGAAAGTTGCCCATTAGTAGATTACAGCTGACGGCAGCATTGTTGCATTTTGAGTAACTGCGCGGAAAATTCAAAATGTCACTGACTTATCAAACCGCCCTCATAATTATTATTATTATTATTATAGTAATGATTTGAAATTAAATTTGAAATTATTACTGTTAATCGTTGCTCAATTCATTAGTTATTCTCCAGCATATAAATCCTCAATGGTAGAATCTGACAAAACCACATTTTCGTCCAACTTCAGTTGAACCTTCATTCCAATAGCAAAATTCGACAAAGATAATATTGGTTTTTCAAAATCTGGTATTTTATTACTAATAGCATTTAATTCGTTGAACACATTTTTCTTTATGTTTTTATTCATTTTTATTAAATATTGAATTATTATTCAGCAGTAGAAAATGTATGTACTTATTTTTCGATAACACATGGGGTGAAAAAGTCGCCTACTTAAAGATGATCCCATATATACATTGAAGAGTTAATGAAAATATTTAGATCTGAAACATGCTAAAAACGTATATATTTGAGAAAGATATGAAAGATATGACGTGAAGTCATGAAGTTTATAAGAAAATAGTTTAAATATTAGCTTAATTTAATATTACAGCAATATATGATGATATATTCTGATTGTTCTGATTTAGCAATTCACATGGAGAATCGATCAGCTGAACGTCGATGATGACTAATATGCCGAAAGCTGTTTGTTTAAACCTTTTTATAAAATTCATGGTACGTTTTCTCAAAACGAAAACAAGGAAAAGATCTATTGACAGAAGAAACCAAAAAAGTTCTAGGTAGATAATAGAGCCACTCGGTAGGTGTATATAATTTTTTCATTGTTTTTACTATAGTTTTGTATTTCAAATAATACTTCTATAATAAATTTTATAGATATTGAAGAGTCATGCATTTTATAGTCAATAAAATATTCTACTACAGAGTTTTACATAACAAATTTCTCAATCTGCTATTTAATATTTAATCGACTTTTACACTGAACTTTTATTTTTCAACTATTTAGACTAACATTGCCAAAAGGTCTTACATTATTTACTTGACCTGATGTATATCCGAAATGCTTTTAGTGACTTTGTGGAGTTTATCATGTCAAGTCTAATCAACTAAAAAAGTGAACTGAAAACTATATTCGACTTTTAAATTGTTACAGTCAACTAAAATTTTTTTTTAGTACATAGTAAAGATATAAGTCATTTTTATGTTAATACTTAAGCTATTACAGTTGATATCATTGAGATACAAACTCGTTGATACTCGTGTCTTAGTGACAATAAATGTAATTCAATTTGTTTGACAATATATTGATTAAAATGTTTAAATTTTTACGTCTATATTTGAAAGCTGATATCAGTTAGACATTTTTTAAAACTATTTTCTCAAATAAAATTTTTTTTTTTTATTATTTTAACTTTAAACTTTTAACAAATAATGCATTTAAGCTAAGTAACTTTTTGCATTTTAACAAAAATTTCAACATAAATGCACACACCTACCCAGAACTACAATTGGATATGGTATTATCACCACTTCATTGCAGTACATATATATAAAAAAATATGACGTTGTCTTAGGTTGAACTGATTGACGAGAAAATCGCCATAAATACCCCCTTGGGTCTTTAGTGATATAAGACGTTGTTGTGTATATTAATTAATTTATAAATAGCATTATTTCAATAAAAATATGTCAGAAATATTTAACCTCATCTATTTCGTGACATGCGAGCTGTGACAAAAATAATAAAGATGTAATAATAATTATTTTTCGGTTACTTAAATATAAAAACTAATGGAAAAAGTAATATTTGATTTGCTTTTTCTCTTAACAGTCCAAAGAGTATAATTCTACTTCAATCTATTTCAAATTTGGGTTTTTAATCCACTTATTTAGGTCATTAGGCGAAAACTCTTGATAGTTTGTGCACTTTCCAGTTTTAAGGCTTGATACAATATCAATGTGTTTGGGTTTAAAACTAGTAGCGGATCATTCACCATTTATCCTGGTTAATATATAACTAAAAATACATAGAACTTAATTATAAATTACATCTGACCACAAAATTTTTTAGGATTCTTTTATTCAAATCGATGGATTTCATAGTGCTTAAGATCGACATTGAGGTTGTTATAATTATATTCTACAAAGATATTCTTAAGAAGTCTGATTGCTTCAACTTTTTGTTGAAAGGTTTAAGGTAAAACAATCAAAATTATTCAGACTGTTAGATTATTATTGCTCATTATGCCACAGTTTTTTCTGAGTCTTAGTTTTCTCTACTTAATATTCCTAAACAGTCTGAGTTATAGTCTTATATCAAATATCCTCATAGTCTTAGTTTTTTGCACTATATCTTTCTAAATAATATGATTACACTTACTTTCTTCTTAAAGTAGGCCTCTTGACCTCTTAAATCGTTAATCATGTTATCAATTCACAGTTCACGTGTATGTCTCCCCTTCTCCTCTCCTGTAAA